TCTCTCTCTCTCTCTCTCTCTCTCTCTCTCTCTCTCTCTCTCTCTCTCTCTCTTTTCGATCAATCAATCAATTTGATCGATTAATTGGTTGATTGCTTTTTCATGGTCGTCTCCGCAGATGGATAAGCATCTACTCAAATGAATGTGGTGGTTGACAGCCAGGTAGATAGCCCGGTTGAAGAAATATCATCGTCCAATGTGCTGAGGCAAATAAGGGCACGTAGTGATGGGGATGGTGTATTCGGAAAATGGTTGGCCGATGATTGCACGGAGAGGAAATACCTTGAGGAATGTAGTGAACGATACGAGTATGGCATGGCTTCGCAAATTTCTAAGATGGAGCAGCGTCTGCTTCATCGTAAGTCTAAAGTGCCTTATGGTGTTGCAGGTAAGGTTCCAAACGATTCCGCATTGAAAGGAGAATGCGGCCGCTATATGACTGACAATGAAGGCCTTCGGTGGACTCAGGACGAGTTGTTTGGGATGTTGAAGAAGAAGGAGGCGGAAGTGACTGCACTGAGGAGTGCATTCGCAAAAATTGAGGTGAATGCACGATCAGTGCTTGAAAGTTTCTTGGAAAGGAAACGAAGTGAAGAGGTGAGAGATTGGTGTTTGTCCGGTAGTGTGGATGAGAACAAGGAGGAGAATGTTGACGAGGACATTGCCAGCCAACTTACGTCTTTAATCCAATCCTCGATTAGAAATGACTTGCTTGACAAAGTTGCTGAGCTTAGTACTAATGTTGATCCGCATCTGTCCCAAGAGTGTGAGTATTTGCGTCTACGCTGTGAAACAACCGAGAGTGGATTGAGAAAATTGTTGTCGTTAGGTGCCTTGCCATCGATTGATCCTTCTTTTGCATCAGAGGTGTTTGAGTTTCCATTAGGTCGAACTTTAGAAGAGTTTCCGAAAAGTTGTTTGATTGGTATGTTGCAATCATTGCGAACAGTTGGTGTGGAGCTTGCACATAGAAATGTGCTTTTGGAGGTGCAAAATACAATGAGCTTTCCGGTAAGCGATAGCCAGTTGAGAGCGACAGTTGTTACTCTCGGACAATTGTACAAGGACGCACGAGAAAATTTAATGGACACTGTGTATCAACATAGTTTCTCGGATCAGTGCGGTGAGGGACTGACGGGAACAGTTGTATAGCCTCAGAATTTTATTAGCAAATATCATTGCTGCTCATTCGCCGGTGCGGGTTATGCAGGAGATGGGCCATGTAAAAAAAGAATTGAATGCTCTCGCGAGCATAAATAAAAAGCATGAGACCAGACTGCATGAGGTGGTGCTTGCACTGGTTGAAGCTCTGCGGCGTCGATGTCCAGGGAGAACAGGGACGTGGGGTGGGATGACGAGCAGAAATGCGTCCT